CAAAAAAAATAAATAAATCATAAGATAGAAGTTTTTATTAGCAAGCATGTAATAAACAGAATAAAACACGCCTTTTTCCATATCACACCCAGTATCAACCCGCGACCAATATCAGCCCAAGGCATGTATTATTCTCTATATATCCTTGCCCTGATATTATATACCCTTGCCCTGTTATGATATAGCCTTACCCTGTTATTATATATTCTTGCTCTTAATTTATATGTCCTTGCTCTTAATTTATATACACTTTCCTGGCTATTAAATATCCATGGCCTGAAATTATATATCCTTGCCCTGATATTATATACCCTTGCCCTGTTATTATATTTCCTGGCCCTGTTATTATATATACTTGCCCTGATATTATATACCCTTGTTCTGTTATTATATATCCTTGCCCCGATATGATATACCCTTGCCCTGTTCATATATATCCTTGACCTGTTATAATATATCCCTGCTCTGTTATTATTTAGCCTTTCCCTGTTATAACAATGTATATACATATACATATGCTTTGTTATTATATATTTGACCTGTTATTATATATCATTGTCACGTCATTAAACACCCTTGCCCTATTATTATATATATCAATGTCTTGTTATAATATACACTTGCCCTGTTATAATATACGTCTGCATTGTTATTATATAGCCTTACCCAGCCGTTATATATCATTGCCCTGTTATTATATATCCTTGCCCTGATAGTATATACCCTTGCCCTGTTATAATATATCCTTGCTCTATTATTATATAGCCTTTCCTTGTTATTATATAGATATGCGTTGTTATTATATATCACTGCATTGTTGTTATTTATCTTTGGCCTGTTATTATGATCCTTGCCCTGTTATTATATACCCTTGCCCTGTTATCTTATTGCCTTTCCTTGTTATTAAATACCCCTGCCCTGTAATAATATACCTCTGCACTGTTATTATGTTTCCTTACCCTGTTATGATATATCCTTAACCGGTAAGTATATACCATTGCCCTGTTATTATATATTTCTGCCCTGTAATTATATATCCTTGCCCTATTTTTTTTATACATTCATAGTATAGTATTATATATCCTTGCCCTGTTATCATATGTCCGTGCCCTTTTATAATATATCCTTGCCCTGTTATCATATATACGTCCCCTTATATTATATACACTTTCCTTGGTATTATATACCCTTGGCCTGTTATTATATATCCTTGCCCTGTTTTTATATTTTTTTGCCCTTTTATTATAATTTCTTGCACTGTTATTATATATCCTGGCCCTGTTATCATATATCCTTGCCTATATATTATATACACTTTCCCTGTTATTATCTATCCTTGTCCTGTTATTATATACCTTTGCCCAGTTAATAAATATCCTTGCCCTGTTATTATTTATCTTTGCCCTGTTATTATATATTGTTGCCCTGTTATTAAATGCCATTGCCATGTTATTATATCGCCTTTCCTTGTTATAAAATATATTCGGCCTTTTATTATATATCCTTGTCACGTTATCAAATACACGTGCCCTGTTATAATATACCTCTGCACTGTTATTATGTTGCCTTATCCTGTTATTATATATCCTTAACCTGTTATTATATACCCTTGCCCTGTTATTATATATCCTTGCCCTGTTATCATATATCCGTGCCCTGTTATTATATATCCTTGCCCTGTTATCATATATCTGTGCCCTTATATTATATACACTTTTCCTGTTATTATATACTCTTGGCCTGTTATTTTATATTCTTGCCCTGTTATTATATATCCTTGCCCTGTTATCATTTATATGTGCCCTTATATTATATACCCTTTCCCTGTAATTATATACCCTTGCCCTGAAAATATAAATACTCACCCTGTTATTATGAACCATTAGCCTGTAATTATATATTTCAGTCCTTTTATTATATATCCTTGTCCTGATTTGTACATCCATGAACAGTTATTATATTTCCTTGCCCTGTTTTTATATAACCTTGCCCTGTTATAATATATCATTATCCTGTCAATATATATTCTTGTCTTTATATTATATACAATAACCCTGTTATACTATCATGGTCCATTATTATATATCCTTGTCCTGTTATTATATGGTCCTGCCTTATTATTATATAATCTTGCCCTGTTATAATATATCATTATCCTGTTAATATATATTATTGTCCTTATATTATATACAATAACCCTGTTATACTATACCCATGGTCTATTATTATATATCCTTGCCCTGTTATTATATATCCTTGCCCTTCTATTATATATCCTTGCCCTGATAGTATATACCCTTACAGTGTTAGTATATACTCTTGCCCTGTTATTATAAACCCTTGTCCTGTTATTATGTATCCTTGATCTGCTATTAAATAGCCTTACCCTGTTATTATATGTCCTTGCTCTTATATTATATACACTTTCCCGGTTATTATATATCCTTGCCCTGATATTATATACCCTTGCCCTGTTATTATATTTCCTTGCCCTGTTAATATTTATCCTTGCCCTGATATTATATATCCTTGCCCTGTTATTATATTTCCTGGCCCGGTTATTATATATCATTGCCCTGATATGATATACCCTTGCCCTGTTATTATATATCCTTGACCTGTTATAATATATCCTTGCTCTGTCATTACTTAGCCTTTCCCTGTTATAACAATGTATATACAGTTGTGTGACCGCACAACGCACCAAAAATACCGTGCGCACACCTTGCATACATCGTTCACACACCGTCCGAACATCGTCCACACATGGTGCGCACAACTGGGCGATTTAACAATCGTTCGCCCCGTTGTGCGCTTCTATCCGCACAACTGTGCGATTTGGAACGATTTGTTGATCAATATTACGGAATAAAAATAATACGGGCCTCTTGTATGCAATAATGTACACTGTATACACTAAAACTATACATTACTATCATTTTTCATCACAATAATTAAGATTATGTATAATTTTACAATACAATGCGGGAAACACAGCATACAGTGACCGTGACAGGCTGTCAAGAATGGGTTCAGTTCAAATGTAACAGAACAGGTAAATGAAAATTTGATAAGTGACCGGAGTTTTACCTGGCCTGTGCCTGACACATAGAGCTGCTATGTGATACCGTATGACCGTTATGAAAACACAACTGGACGTTGAGAATTTGTTATTTGTATTCGTTTTGATCTATAGCTCCCCTTCACCTTGTTTTCACACCTTGGCGATTTACGCAGGTGCCCCGGGCGGGGGAAAACTACGGTGCAGGTACAAAGTGGCTATGTTTACCTGTGTTGCCGAGACTGTGTTGTAATTTTACATGTGTCGATTAAGGTCGTTTAAAAAACACAGAGAACACCATTTCTAAATTGAAGAAAGTATAGACAGAAAGATAAGCTTATAGATGTAGCTAGAATATAGAAACATGCTAAAAGATCAAGTTTATATGTTTAAAAACCAAACCGTATATATTGTTAAGCCATTCCTCAATTTACACCAACCACGATTATTATCGCACAACGTTCGTCGATCGTCCGCACAAATGTGTGCAAGCAATCATCGTCCATTTGTTTATCGTTCGCACTCCGTGCACACATCGTGCGCACACCGCACATCGTTTAACGTTGTGCGATCCCACAACTGTACATATGCTTTGTTATTATATATTTGACTTGATATTATATATCATTGTCACGTTATTAAACACCCTTGCCCTGTTATTATGTATATCAACGTCTTGTTATTATATACACTAACCCTGTTATAATATACCTCTGCACTGTTATTATATAGCCTTTCCCAGCCGTTATATATCCTTGCCCTGTTATTATATATCCTTGCCCTGATAGTATATACCCTTGTCCTGTTATTATATATCCTTGCCCTGATGTAATATACCCCATTGCCTGTTATAATATATCCTTGCTCTGTTATTATATAGCCTTTCCCTGTTATTATATACATATGCGTTGTTATTTATCTTTGGCCTGCTATTATGTATCCTTGCCTTGCTATTAAATACCCTTGCCCTGTTAATGTATACCCTTGCCCTGTTATAATATTGCCTTTACTTGTTATTATATATCTTTGACATGTTATTATATACCCTTACCCTGTTATTATATATCCATGTCTTGTTATTATATACCCTTGCGCTGTTATTATATATCATTGCCCTGTTATTATATACCCTTGCTCTGCTATTATGAACCATTGCCCTGTTATTAAATATTTCTGCCCTGTAATTATATATCCTTGTCCTATTTTTATATATTCATGGTATATTATTATATATCCTTGCCCTGTTATCATATATCCGTGCCCTGTTATTATATATCCTTACCCTGTTATCATATATCTGTGCCCTTCTATTATATACACTTTTCCTGTTATTATATACCCTTGGCCTGTTATTATATATTCTTGCCCTGTTATTATATATCCGTGCCCTGTTATTATATATCCTTGCCCTGTTATCATTTATCTGTGCCCTTATATTATATACACTTTCCCGGTTATTATATACCCTTGCCCTGTTATTATATATTCTTGCCCTGTTATTATATACACTTGCTCTATTATTATGAACCATTGCCCTGTTATTTTATATTTCTGCCCTGCTATTATATACCCTTGGCCTATTATTATATACCTTTGCCCTATTATCATATAATATTGCCCTGTTTATAGATGTCAAACATGCGGCTGATAGGATCAATTATTTTACTACTTTCCTAGTAGTCTAGCAATTAGCTAAGAGTTTAGATGACTTCACTTACCTTGATCAAGTGTATATGTTTACATCTATATTGTCTATGTAAAAATGTGTTTCCTTTATTGAATATTGAGGCACACTGCCATTTATTAGGTTGCTTATTATTGATATATGCTGGATAATCTTTTGTTAATGAACTTTGATGTTCTGGACTGATAAGGTATGATTTTGTCTGTGTAACTACCGTTTTATCGTGTGTTGATGTTTATTTATTGTCTTTATCAGGAACACGTGCTATTTCCAGAAGCCACTTTACAGATGGGGAACCACAAAAGTAGGATGGTAAGTAGTATAATTCCATATATACAATAATGTATTTCATAAGAAAAAAATGAAGTAGTGATCTGCAATCAAGGACAAACTACACCTATCGTTAAAACTCTGGGATAAAATATACCATACGTTAGATTCATGAGGACAAAATATACCTGTTCGGTAATAAAAGACAAAATACACTTTGTCGTCAGTACACGGGACAAAATGTATCATATGGTCAATAAACATGGGAATCGTACCACCTGCGAAACGCACAAGGACAAAACATCGTAAGGTAAGGGAAAAAGCAACGCAAGTACGTTGTAATAAGGACAAAATGTACGGTATGGTCATTATACAGAGCCAAAATCTACCACATCGCCAATGCACAGGGACAAAATTTACCACATCGTCAGTACACAGGGACGAAATATACCACATCGTCAAAACACAGGAACAAAATCTACCATATCGTCAAAACTTATGGATAAAATCTACCACATCACCAATACACAGGGCCAAATATGCCACATCACCAATACACAGGGACAAAATATACCACATTGCCAATACACAGGGACAAAACATACCACATCACCAATACACAGGGAGAACATATACCACATTGCCAAAACAGAAGGACAACATATACTTCATCGCCAGTCTGTACACTGCTAGGGACAAAATATACCATAATATCAATACACAGGGACAAAATCTACCGCATTTTCAAAACACAGAGACTAAACGTACCACATCGTATATTTACAGTGACATAATCTACAATAATATCAATAAACAGGGACAACCTCTACCATTATACCAATATACAGGAACAAAATTTACCACTTCGTCAGTACACAGGGACGAAATATACCACATCGTCAAAACACAGGAACGAAATATACCACATCATTAAAACACAGGAACAAAATATACCACATCGTCAAAGCATATGTAAAAAAAATATTCCACATCGACAAAACATATGTAACAAAATATACCACATCGTCAAAATGGATAAAATCTACCGCAATATCAATACACAGGCACTAAATAAAACACATTGCCAACAATGCGTATTACCTTGTACATCGGTCATAACATGGACAAAACGTAACATGTTGTCAATACACAGGGGCCAATCAACCACATCGTCAACTCAAAAGATCAGACTATACCCACATCGTCACTACACATAGACAAAAGGTTTTAGGTCGTAAATACTTAGGAACAATTTGGACACCATCTTCAAATCAAAGGTTCACTTAACGTGTAAGCGTTTGATTCATCAAATGTTGTTCAAGTTCAGAAAAGCAAATTGACCTTTTAATTTCTAAAACACGGTGATGACGTTTTTTATCATGACCTTCACGCGAATGTCATAGCTCTATATATAGAATGTAGATTTTGGGAACAGTTCTGGAGTATTTTATCATGCTAAGTCCATCAAGATATGTTGGAATGCTACTACAGAGGAAAGGGAAGTTATCACTCATGATATAACTGTTGACAGGTTCTGTAACATATTAGTGGTGAGGTTCAAACATTTCTTATTTCACTGTGTGTTAAATACTGACTGGCCAGACTGTGAACGATACAATTGTCCAAGGCGGGCCAACGTTATTGTTACACCTCAAGTGAATTTCTAGCTATTTGATTGGTTGGGAGAAAATTAAACAAAAATCTCTGTCACCCTCCCAAAATACATTGGTCATAAGGAGCGCGGGTGATATTGACAGTGAAACATATCACATGCGCGAAAAATGTGCGTTCACCGCTTCGTTTCCCCACCGTGATGGTCACAAGAACGTTACGGCAACAGACAATTTTATGAAGCGCCGGTGCGATAGCGATTGTAAACAGCAGACTATCAACAAACAAGATGTCATTATCGAGGTCTGCTGCCGTTTCTGAGCTACAAAGACTTTTGGTGTAACAAAATAGATATGACATTCATTAGCAGGTGACAGTGAATATTGTCAGCTCTCAAAAACCCATTGTCACCCTCGGCTTCGTCTCGGGTGACAATAGTTTTCTCGGGTTGACAATATTCCCGTCACCTGCTAATAAATGTCATATTTATATATTGGTAAATTGTAGATACATGATTTATGTTGTTCTTAGTTTAAGACAAGTAAGTTTTCAAATAAAATTTGTGTTGAAAACAAACTTGATATCTAAAATGTACACAAAACTGATAAATCTCATTCCGAAAAGAGAAAAATATTTCAAAAATAAGTTAAGATATCGCTGTCTTTGATGAATTGATCATTGATTCGTTTGGCCTATTATTTTTGTTACAGGTGGGGCAGAAAAATTGTAAGAAGGGTTTACTATTCAACAGGTTCACGCTGTTGTACTGGGTACAACGGGCCATCTTGTAGAACTCGTAAGCATACGTTTTTATTCCAGTTCTTTATTTATCAATATAATATGTATGTTCTTCACGGGACTTCAGAAAATGCAGTTTGTTATTATCCAGAAACAATGCCTTCAAATGAGAAATATATAACTGAGGGAAGAACGACCTATTGTATCATTTTTATGATAATATTTTGACACGAAATAATAGATATGTTTGTATGGCGAAAATATATCGACATACTTATATAATATCCATACCTCTGGTATGAATCAATTTTACTGCGTATTTCTAATACTGCGCTCTCAGTGGGATATATTTAGGAGATGGTAGGTAAATAATGATACACAGTTATCTCCTGCGACCGTTTAATGCTTACTAATTGGATGTCCGTTCTTATTGTAACCTATACACAGTGGCTTTCTTTTTAGCCCTCTGCCAAAACAATATGCTTAGTTACATTTTAATATCGATGTAGCCCGATGTGCTTTCCACTTATGGTGGAGGTTTTTGTTTGGCTAAATGCTGATCCCATTTGCGAAATATAACTTCTAATAAAAAGCAACACACCTATTGAAATACAAACTCGACTAATTGATAATCAAAATTTCATCTATATTTCTCTAACAGCTAGTATGTGTCTCTCCACTCATATGTCAAACATCCAAGGAATGAGTAAAAAACAACCATGGAACCCACATGTCTTGAGCACGACCTGCACGTTATTTTAACTGGTCAGTTTCCTAATATTGACGACACAAAACACTGCTTTGTGACGGCATCTTCAATTGTGACGGCCTGACTCTTGGCAATTGATTAGTCTTTCAGAAACAGGAGATAGGGATATCGAAGAGAAGCGCGATTTTCTAAATAATATTTTAACTTTATCAAAGGAGATAAAAAACAATTAAATCTTGACCGCTTATTATTATAGTATATTTTCATCAGGAAAAATTCGGTTTACCAAACTGCATTCGGAAAAATCGTGCAATTTGTGTGAACATTTACAAGCTCGATTTAGATAACCATAATTAACCATCCCCTACTCGTTTGAGAATCTGTGAGTGGTCATGCTATTTGTTTATAATCAGCGTATTTTTTTTCTATATTCCACGTTTGGTGTTACAACACTATGGGTTTTTCTCTGTAACTATTGCATAATACTTCATTTACCTGTAAAAATGTATCAAAATTAAAAATACGTTATGTTTGACTCTACTGTATTAGAAAAGTCAAATATACATTATGTACTAGGATTACGATTTTTTTTTAACGAAACCAGGTTTTCAATATTCATTAATAAAAACAAAAGTTCTTTTGCCTACAATATAAATAAAGCACAAAAATGACGAACAAAAATGACGAACCTTGAAAAATGACTGATATTATTTTTTGTCCCAATGCCAACTGATCAGGTCTGATACAATGCATCGCAGGAACCTCCTCCACGGTATCCATACAATGATCACAGAGTATGATATGCATCCTTATAATTAGATACTCCATTCCTTGATAATTCCTATGAATGCAAGAAACTAACCCGTTGGCCGACTTCTGGTAAATAATGTAATTTTAACGGTTTTTATCTGTTTCAGCTATTTGCAATCCTCCTTGTATAGGTGGTACCTGTGTGTCACCTAATAGGTGTCGATGCGACAACGCTCATATAGGAAGTACCTGTCAAACAGGTAATTGTCATTACTAGAATGGTTTGTTTTTACTATGGCATTATAATTAGTTGTTTCTTGAGTGTGTGTTTTTTTTTTTTTTTTTTTTTTACTTATTTCTTGTTTAACCCCTGTGCATTTAATCTTAACGAATACTAACATAACTCGGTGAGTCATATATTTTGGACACATTACCACCTTTGTTCATGAAATCAAACTGTCTATATCGGACAAAGCACTTACAGATCCCTTACCATAATAGAAAACGTACGTATTAAACAACTGTCTATAGATACAAACAACGAACAATGCTTTCTTATTGTTATGGAATACCAAAGTATCCATGACAATATTTAAGCTACACAGAGCTTTCTGATCGCTTGGTTTATTTGCAGTTGTATGTTCTCACCTGAAACCTTGCTTCCCCGGGATTTGCACGTATCCTCACAACTGTAGATGTCAGTCTGGTTTCACGGGCACCACTTGCCTAACATGTAAGTATTATAATAAGGAATTATTAGGACTCAGCTCGATAATAAGTATGCAATTGATAAATATAATTACACACTGAAATAAAACGTCAACTAACCATACGACATATATATTTCTAGGCCATGTTAGTTGACGTTTTTCTTACATAACTATTTATGTAACTATTTCCTATATATGAAGTTTTATTTTTAAATCTTTCTTAATAAAATGAAGCGTCGTTCATGGTCAGACATGCATATCTAATTATTTGTGTCATTTTATTGGAGTGCAAGCTTCTCAAACCCCATATCTCCTTCGCACCAGCACATACCTCGTCAATCAGGAAAGAACGAGCGGTAAAGTGTTGGCCAGATTCCTGTCCGATTCCACAGCACCAAACACTGGTTATACAGATAGAATTTGGTTGATGAAGCATGATTTCAATATCATCAACATCTACTTCGAATCAATATACAAGTATCCCTTGCTGGAGGAGAACGGCAATTACATTGAAAACTACGGCTTTGGGATAGTGGACGGGCGAGCTCGTTTGACACTTACAAAAATTCAGCACCAAGGTATGTATATCGGCATAATTATCACAGCAATGCTTGGTATTACCTTCGGCATGGACGTCTTGTCATAAAGAGTCTTACTCAGCGACGAACACTTCCCTAACATTAATACGATACCAGGCATCAGCTTCAACAGCCTCGCCCATATAGGGTAGCAGATGCATTATTGAACGATCAACTTACCATTAGCGGTTATATTAAGTAACAAATTTCAGACAATGTTTTGTATTTCATAAAAGACACATAAAAAGATGACACATTAAACAACCAATACGACATGCATGGTCATATTCAACAATCAATACGAGATGCATGGTCATATTCAACAATCAATACAACACGTGTGGTCATATTATATTCAACAATCAATACGACGCGTATGATCATATTCAACAGCCAGTACGAAATATATTATCATTATCAACAACCAATACGACACGCATATTTATATTCAACAATAACTACAACACGTTTGATCATATTCAACCATTAATACGACACGCATGCTCATGTTCAACACTCAATACGACACGTGTGGTCATATCCAACAGCTGGTACGATATATGGACTTATCTATCGTACATAAACCTTAACGCCTTAGTTATATGTCCGTATATGATACAGGATATCCATTATCCAGTACTGAAGCCATTCAACAACTAAAATTGTATTTGGATTGATATAAGATCATACTTCAATGAGCATATCGAGTATGAGATGATTACTAGAATTATGTATCTTGATATCATTTTAAATTATTTTTCTGATGTTTTTCGTTTTCATTATGAAGGATCCTCTACGTCATATAGACACCAGAAAAACTACACCTGTCCACACAACCCCAATACAGCTAAACCACAAGAAGGTGTCTTTAAATGCAACATAACTGATACTGATTTTGATTGGTTGTTAGAAAATGGAGATATGTAAGTATGCTTGTGTTGGTACATTAATTTCTTGTTGTCCAAAGAAGATCACTCAATGATATAGTGTTGTTGACAAATACTCACTGCACCCTGCCTAATTGATTAGTATTTTAAAGAGCTTCCGTTACTCTACGGTTTTTAAAATCGCCATCGATATGTTTATTGGTGATATTTAAAAATATCTCCATAAACAATCATAAAATAATTAATAACTCATTACCTGCTGAACCATACAAGAGATGTTTCAATTAACAAATATCATAGAGAACAATTAATTTGTAATATTAAGCATTATATGACGGCGATATATTGCTGAAAGGGAAAGCGACTGAAAATTACTGCATCGTTTTTATTGTAACTTATTCTGATAGATTCAATAAAAGCATTTTCATATAGCGTTTCCAGGGATGTTTATACCCCCTCCCCTTTTTTAAAATAGTCTACAAAGTGTCGCAGTAAGAATAATTCCTTTGCATACTTATGCGTTTCTGCACTAGCAGATATAAACCAATTGAACCGATAACGTCATAACCAATATGTATCCTTGCTGTAACGTCTACTTGACCCGATAACGTCATAATCGATATGCATCCTTGCTTTAACGTCTTATTGACTCGATTTCGTCATAATCGATATGTATCCTTGCTGTAACGTCTTATTGACCCGATAACGTCATAATCGATATGTCTCCTTCCTGTAACGTCTAATTGACTCGATAACGTCATAATCGATATATCTCCTTGCTGTAACGTCTAATTGACCCGATAACGTCATAATGGTTATGTCTCCTTGCTGTAACGTCTAATTCACTCCAGTTTTATCTTTAAGAATCGCTGTCCTTTTGCAGGCAAATCACTTAAGAATTCCACTCATGTGTTTTATACATATAGTATCCTTCTTTAAGTTCGTTTCGTATATAACTGGAGTTTCATTGAGCCAGGGATTTACCACTGATCAGGTACAGGTATAGGTACCGCTATTGGTTACATCGTCGTTATTGTGAACGAATGCCATTGGTTCGAATTAATGTCTGATCAGGTACAGGTACCGTAATTACTTACGGCTGTCTTATTGTGATCGGTGGTCCAGAGATCGAATTCATATCTGATCAGGTACTGATGCCGCTATTAGTTACAGCTGCCTTATTGTGATTGGAGCTAAGGTTTGAAATCCATGTCTGATCAGGTTTTAGTTACGGCTGCCGTATTGTGATCGGATGTCTGGCTCCGTCTCAAAATACTATTGTTGATTGTTTCCCCGGTTCAGCATCTTTTTACAGTTTCCTTAGACATACGTGGCTTTAAAAAATATTTTAAACATCTATTGTCATGCTCGAAAAAAACTCCAATTTTCAATAGTTTAGGTGCCAGCTTGGACTTTCTTCAATATTGTTAATATTGTGCAACTTTTAAAGGTTTCATTTACCCTATATTAATTTCAAAGCTCTTTAATTGTAGTAAAAGATTGTAATATTAGGAAAAACATCAAAAAATGACACTGAAACTGTACCTCATATTTTGTATTGCTACATTTCATATCTACATAAACTGATGCTCAAAATAACGCAGTTCAGCAATCTAGCACATACAAGTTTACTGCATATAACTTGATATTTAATTACTTAAAATATATCACGAATAGGCGAGCTCTGCTGTTCTCCAACAGCTCTTGTCTGGTATAATTGTTATAAATGAGACGAATGTGTTACAGTATGGTGGCTACGGTATCAACAAAGAGTGGGGGATTCCGAGGTATCCGGTCGCTGGATACATTATCACACTACCGAAACGACTTTTATGAAACTCAAACGGCTACAAAACACATGCAGTTCATGTTCGACTACCACCCACCTTACCACTGTATGGAAACGAAAACATGTTCAAGACAGCCGCTTCTAATTAGAAATGATATCTCAAAGGTAAGCGACCTGTCGTTAACAGTAAAATATGTAAAGTCACAATGCTGCTGGCCGTACTAAGGTGTAAGCATTAATGTGTTCTTGCATATTTGCATTGCCATCGCAAATAGCTATACAAACACTTCCAGAAGAAACGCATGCATAAGGCTTTCAATGCAATTGCATTAACCTTCAGGATTCTCCATGACGATACAATAAATGTATTTACATAAGTATAAGAAAATACTCATACTTACATCCCTAACAACTGTATATTTAGAATGGTAATATCTGAATTCATGTTTCTGAACGGATATTTTTTATTACAATCATCCCGGTATGAATGACATCCACAGGCTTCATGCAATACTTGCATATTATTTTTTTCAACAATGTCCATTCAATCATTATTGAGTTATCTGCAGTTTTGAACATAAACCCATGAATTTCGGAGATAAAGCATATTTAAAGTCGAACCTTGTATTTATTCACACGAATAACTGAATCCCCATATTCAGTTTTAGCTAGTATTTTGTTCTTGATAATTATTGAATTACATCAACGATATTCTACAGCTTTCTACATATACATTATTTGACAATTGTTAACACAACCATTTTATGACGATTTGTTATACACTACTTATGATAACATTTTCGACAATTGAATTTATAGGGACCTGTAACCATATGATGGGACGGATGGAATGACACTTTATCGGGTGTCCACATTTACACTGTACAGGTGTATCCTTTAAAACCAGACAGGACAGGCGACCTGACCGAGGTCAATCCCACCAGCCCTATCTACTACTTGACCAATTTGACTAAAACCTCGAACCCGACATACCTACCACCTTCTCCTGGAATGTATTCCGTTCTGTTGGAGGTAGGAGATAAAGCTAACAACACCAAGTACAGCCGGAGGACGCTGCCGTTTGACAACGAATCTAACGTCACCATGACAGCCAATCCTATAACGGTAGAGGGCGCTGTAGGAACTGCAAACAGTATCTGGATAGATAATCTAGACAAACAAGTAGTGATTAACTGGCAAGGTGTTTTCGAAAATAAAAATCATAACAAATTCAATCTGCTGAATACTGTTGCAACATTCAAACCGCAGACAATAATGCACTTCCGACATAAGAACGTGTCCTCAGTCTTGGATGATCACGAAGGAAAACGTACACTTAAGAAAATAGCTAACAAAAATGGAATAACCAAAGTACAAATAACTCATAATCTTAAAGGTCATGGGGGGCTTCGACCTTGGACAAATGTAGCTGGCTTTCTGGACGAGAAGGCGACCCTAAACATTTCACGTTTGGACGGCGAAACAATACAGATATCAGTAAAGGCCTTTGATGTTATGGGGAACAGTGCCACGCAGTCAATATTCATGAATATTGACTCAACATTACCTGATGTGGAAGAACCTAAATTGGACCCGAATGTTAAAAATGGAACATTTCCGTTCTCAAGTGGGTGAGTGGTAAACTTTCTTACTGTACATGTGTGCTAAATATATAGATTACATTTAATTGTTTCCTATAGAATACCATACATAAATCACGAGTATTTCAGAATAACGATATAGTATTACGAGTGCGACGCATCAATAAAATATTGATACAATCTGCCATACGAGTGAAATGTATAAGGTGTTAAACGAAAAAGAAATAAAACCTTATCCGGAAAACCCTTGGAATTTCTATTTATTGCGTTTTTAGGTAATACAAATAGAAGTATTATTTGACGCCGGGTTATAATGACGTCAAGCTTGACAACAAGAGCCTGTGCCATTGTTTAATAAGCTACTCAACGCTATTCTTGGTATTATGCTATTATCTGATACGTTTTGCAAACAAAAACGTTATCAATTAAGTTGTTGTGGTAATAATAACTAATCTTATATACGAACAAAAATATCTTATTTTACTTTCACTTTATCTGAATCCGAACAGACAATTTGCAGCTCGAAGAAATAAACATTTTCAATGGTCAATATCAAATCGATACCGAACCTTATTTCTTCAAATATAAAGATAAACCGTCTTTATATCCTTAATGCAGTAAACTTTTTATCACACTGATATTGTTTTGGTATTTCACTGGTCTATATGTAAAGAACATGTTTTATTTTCTCTAACGTTAATGACGATTGATGATTCTACAGAGTCCGATTCTTGACTTACGATGGACAGAGTGGGATTTCCATGTTTAAATGGAAGATCAAGACAAACGAATCGGAAGAGATTTTTCATGAGGGACAATCACAAGGGAACCGAACAGAGGTAAAGTTGCCTATTAGGTTACCACTTGTAACCAGGATCATTATTGAACAACTAATAACAAAGGTAAAGTTGCCTATCAGGTTACCATTTGTAACCAGGATCATTATTAAACCACCAATAACAGAGGTAAAGTCACCTATCAGGTTACCATTTGTAACTAGGATCATTATTAAACCACCAATAACAGAGGTAAAGTCACAATTTGTAACCAGGATCATTATTGAACAACAAATAACAAGAACAAGTATACAATTACAATGCCGATTTAGCAGTTAACACGTCTTATTTAGTTTTGTGCAATGCGCTATTAGAACAGTATTTTAAAGCGAAATATACACCAACACAAATACATTGCAAATCAAACTAAATATTATCGATATAGGCGATACAATTTTAGAAATCTGAATAAGATAGATTTACTTATTTGAATTATCAATGGTTAATTACGTAAGTTTAATAGGTCATCAACTATATTTTAAACGATACTGTAAATAACTTGCTTATTTATTAACGTCAGTAAGATTGAATATAAACTAATTGACTTAATTTACCGCCCTTATTACGAATGAAATGAAATACATAATTTTGTATGCATTTGTATATTTCTATTTCAAGAAATCCTCAAAAGTTTGGATAGTTAATCTAGTGCAATATTTGGAATCTTGGCCTTTGTTTATATCTGATCTCGAATGATATTGATGCACAAATACTTACTTGAAAGAATCGTTTAAACAAACGTCTGGAGTATTAAAAAAGTCTTTGCAGGGGTCACTTAATTGATGTGATACAGAAAAAATATACCCATATTAACATTTAAAATTAAAAAATAGTGGCGATCTAAATATAACTATTCACTAATGTATGTGATATTTAAGTATCTTTAGCGTCAATGCAGAATAACTTTCTGGAAAAAATGCATGACGTCATTGAATGTTTGTATCTTACAATATCTCGGTTTATGCGCGACAAGAGCAAGCATCAAAATTTACCTGATCCAGTTGTTTATATAGGGTTTTGGGTGGAAATGTAAATATATATCATTCTGCTTGATCATAAATATTATCTGCATGTGTCCAGACATCAAACATTCAGTAAAGCCTACACACAACGACATTAACACATCAACAATACAATGGTCATAAACCGCTTAAAAATGAAAAACAAAGTAAATTTAAGCATTTAATGTGGTAACATTTTAGCTGGTTTTAAGCTTGTTTTTTGGTAAAAGTGCATGTTCAAAAAATATGAACATCTAATGGAAATATTTTGTCTTACTTGTGAACATCTGTGTGTTAATGGCAATTCCACCGATATACATTTATTGGCAAGATAAGCAATCTTATTGAAGATATTTGTCTTACTTGTGAACACCCGAGCCTAGGTTTCTATTTTACATGTTTCTGTTTATCGGCAGGGAACGCCATCTAAACATGAGGGAGATTGCAGTCCAGGAGGAGGCTGTTTCTATTACCTCCACCAGTTTGCGATAAACAACTGCTGGCTGATGGTACCCAAAGATAAGCTGGAGACCCAGGTCATTGATATTCACATTGACGTTTTTAACCTGGCAATGCTCAATGCAACCGTTCGTTTGCAGGTAACTTAACATAACGAATCTTCTTATCTCGTCTGTCCATTAACCTGTATAATGCTTACTATACATACTGCCCGTGCCAATGTCGTCTGTCGGTTTTTGCGTCACAATAAAACCTGGAAAAAGAGGTTCCCCCACGAGCGATAATTGGTTATAATGTTTTTCGAACTCGTGCAAGATCATTTTCGAATTGTATTAGGCACTGTGTTTATCAAATGTCTATTACAAAATATGTTGAAAAACATTAACCATTACGAAATGAGGGATCATTTTTCTCCAACACCGTTCAGATATTGAGCAGTTGTAACAAAAACATGTGTCTCGTGGGCATATACTACTCCTGTTTCTGAACGGGGAAACTATTGCCATGAACTGTGAGGTCCCAATGAAAGATGCCTATGCAACGCATTGTTACTTGACGTAATAATTAGAGGATTGACCAATGAAATAACGTCCAGTGTGTTACCAACTAACCATTGTTTAGCAACTCCTTTGTGGTAAAGGAAGAAATATGTAGCTGCCTCTCTCGTCCATGTCAAGTTAACTAAAACTACAGCCTTTGCTAGTCCTTCAATATAAAAGTCAAAACGGGAAACATTATTGTTTGACGTCAGCATTCCTTGATCAGTATAACGACGATCACTCTATCTTTTCTATCTATGCCTAACATTAATTAGGAATGATTTTACATAAACACTTACCATGTTACCAAATCAGCACTTCAACTACAAATTTTAAGCTAATATCTTTATTCAACAAGATAAATCTTCAAAAAGATCTACAGCAGAGTGTTCACGTATGAAGTAACAAATCTGAAGCTTTCTCAACGCATTGAGGTGGCAAATAAATGTAAAACTTACCATTCAAAGGAGAGTAACTCTTTTGTTTTCGATATTTTTGTGTGTGTTTAAATTACGCCTTCACAAGTGATCGAATGCTGTGAAGATACGTGAAACAGTTGTTATTGTTGCGAAAGCTTCAGATCAAATATTCCTTAGATATAATGCATACTGCACAGATATAAAGCGTGGAGTACGTTAAGTCCCTCGTCATTTGAGATTAGTACACGCTAGTGTGGAGGCATTGTACTTGCATTTAAAACCAATTTCGTGAAGGAATGCATCCAGTCTGCGGTTTGCCTGTCAAATAACGCTATGAATTCCCAAAGCGATTTTAAACATCTCTCATGAAAACACAATGCAACAGTGTGATAATTTGTATTTAAATGTTGTACTCGAGGGATGTCACGTCACTCTCACACAAAAATGACGATGATATCTATCTAACAGAACTATTTATTACTTCTTTTTCAGATTAACCATTTGCCTTCGTTTGATGGTATAGAGGAGTGTGAGTATTGTTGACTGATTAGAGAATGTACATACTGTATTAGAAAAGATAAAAGCTATGGTATAGCTTTATTTCATGTAAAGATAGTAAGCACAGTACCGTGTAGGTTTGTTAACATAGTGGGAGGTGCAAATAAATCACGAGATACCGATTTTACAGAGGACGCTATCAATTAAATGGACATCAAGATATCTGATGAAAGCAGCACCCGTTCATCCCAGTTGTCTACATATCTTATAACTTATTCTTGGTCTTGAAACATTTACATTTTCAGCTCTGCTTATAGAAATAATTTGTTTTTACCTGATAACGAAAGAAACTATACATAAACATTTTCCACAATGTAGTCATTCCTCATATATTACAAACGTTTTAAACACTGATTGGTGTTAATGACATTAACTTGCCTCGTTTGTATTGGATCTTAAAATGTAAAAGGAATCCTTTTACTGACAACGTTTAGCGCGTTTTTTCTTCGTGATAAACCAAGCCAGTATCCAAAATTCTTGCTACCTGTCTTAATAGTGTGTACTTAGTGTAACAGTCGCATTGTGGCACTGAATACTCCCTATGTGGTTCAATGGATAGAGTTCACGCCTTTTACCAAGACGTCTCTACTTGATTCCCGATCATACGTGAAAAGGTAGTGGGTCAAATGCCAAACCACGTGGGTTTCGTCCGTTACTACGGTTACTCCCACCGCATGATCCTTTATGCTCACACTACCCGGCCAACATATGTGGCTAATATTAGATGGAAAAACTTTCACAATTAATGTTTAAGATCTCAAATAGTACTAATGCTCAAATTTGTTTATATCAACATACCTATGACGTAATTAAACTTTTAGAAATATGTGTTTTCCTCCGTTCTGTGTCAATTTGCGAAGGTCTTAGCAATAAGATTTGTCCGCAGAGTAAAGGATATAGACGATATTCCCTAAATGATCTTCACATACTCGTGTTTGATTTTATTCATTGCCTTAAAGTATTATGAATGGCGTGCGCACTTGGATATTTTTTTCTGTAGATATCCACTGTATGTCAAAATAAAATTGATATTAATTCTATGATCAATGCAAGAAAGGAATAAGAAGATATGGTCGCTAGACACTACTGTACAGAAACGATATATTTAATATGTATAAATTCAGATTACGGACCGATGGACCTTGTGGTTTCCGGAAAAACATCCAGCAGTGCGAACTTCCAGTGGCACCAGGGACCGAGCTGTTACGACCGAACAGACATACTACTGATGTATAACGTGTCTGGACAGTCACGGACAATGCACGTACACAAGGACTCGGAATACTACACGCTGGGTAACCTGGACCCGGAGACTACGTACACCGCACAGTTTGTCGTTGAGTACGGCGATGAAAAAAGTGACCCCGTAAAAATTACTTTCACGACAGGTAGATATAAACCTCTCCAGGAAATAGTAGCTTACACAATGATTGTCTCGTGATGGCCTTTTTTAAGATAACGATTTGAGTACATGAATCTTAATACAATATTAGCATTTATAGATATTTTGTCTTTTATTTTTAGGAGAATATGAAGGTTTATCAGCGGGCGTTATAGCAGCAATCACTATAGGTATGTAACTACGACAGGAACGGTAAATATAAAATATAAGGCACTGTGCCATGTATGTACTCATTAAAAAATATCATCAGCGATTAATTATGAAAACATTGATACATGTATAGTCGAAAACGTTTGAGATAAAAAAAAAAGTGAAAGAAGAATACGACAAGGATCGGTGATGATTCCCTACTATTACCTGTATATATAGCATCGAACTCTTTTGTCCTGTGTGTTATCATTAAACCTTTTGTCCTGTGTGCTATTATTAAACAATTATTCTACAATGATTTCCACAGTTATGCTGATCCTTGTGGGCTTACTAATAGCTGGCATAGTGCTCTGGAGGACAGGCAAGCTCAATCGCTACAAAGAGTCAATCTACGGTCAAATACAGCGGCGGATAACCAGTCGTCGGCGATCTAACACCTACAACAACTCGAGAGAGGTCAACAAGCAGAGAGACGAGAGAGGTCAAGAACGAAAGTCATTTGCGGTAAATAAAATCCTGAATGATAATGTTCTACAAAGTGTTATTATAAGACTTTGATATAATACGTTTTTTCGCTTATAAATTAGGTTTGATTACGTATACGGTTTTTTAGGTGTTTATAGCTTTCATATATTTGGTGATAAAGTGTGACAGTGTATAACGTGTTATATGATACATGAAGTTTTATGTATCGTCGTATACGTTAAAATACAAACAATAGTTGTAAAGCTATTGTAACGCTATCACGAACTCTTCTTTCTAAGTCTTTTATTTCCTGTATCATGTGTGTTTACCTATCCGATTTATAGATGTAAGTTTGAGATATTTGACAAAAAAACAACCCAACATGCATTAAATATCCTAACCTTAATTAATTTATACAGAATAACGTACAAGGATATTGTCTAAACATGGTGCTTTTTACAGCACAGCCATTAGGTGGTCCAATCACACAGGGTCAACACAAAGTTTGAACAATAGTTCAGTAATGACTTTCATTATTCATCTCAAATATTGAGGATAGTTCCAAAATAATCAAAACATGCATGTTGGCTTCCATTAGAACCTGGCCTATTCGGATGTCGGTGATGAGGATGTGTATATGTATGGTCAAATGGTGTTTAATGAGAACCAGTCGTGGGAGGTTCATCACGCTGAAGTGTCTCTAGTTGAAAAGATGATTTCTGGACGGTTTGCTGACGTTTTCAAAGCTTCACAAAACTGCAAAAGGAACAACAGAAAGATCGTCGTCGCCAAAGTGTTAAAGGGTAAGCATGAATCGTCAGTGGGCAACTTCATCTTGTGTGAAGATCTAAACAGGATGGAATTTGTCAATTATCGTCGTGTATGAAGGTTTGTTCAATAAAGGTGAAGCGTTTAAAAGTCACACATGCAACTAGATACTTTTGACATGAAGCCACTGCTGTTCTCTTAAGGAGGCTCCACCCTTTCACAATTAGCCAGCAGAATTCAATGAAAGTTTCACATAATGGTTATGTAACTATGTAGAGATGATTTTATGAAAATCTAAGCATTCCGATAAACTGGGGATTTTTTTGTAAAAAATACTAAAAAATAGATTTTTTGCCAAATTCAACACTTTCACATTTTTTGAGCGTGTGACATTGCTCAAAACTGTTACAACAATAAAATGATGAAAAGAAACATTTCTTATCAACCTTACAAATATTTTATTTATCATAAAATATCTACAACATGTTACAAAAAGCGTTTTTTATCGAAATTGTATGGATAACAGTTACTAAATACAAGCTAAAAGCAAACAGGACACATAGTTTTATAGAAAAAGAGGGAAAAATTGAACCAAATACACACAAAGTCTTTATAATTCATTTATTTTAGATTTTGCAATAATTTTGATTGACATGAGAGTTGTCTAACTTGAAAACAAACGGAACTTTTTGCAGAGGGATAGAATTTATACAATGACACTTATTTTCTTTACTATACCAAAAACGACGAAAATAAAATAAATTACTATATTTAATTGTCAATTTACTGTTCTTTTATGGAACAAAATTACTCTCAATCATGTACACGTTGGACATCATTCCATAGCTCGCTTACTCATGGTGTATTAATATGTCAGATACATATGTAACCATAGGCTATCGCATGGTATGTCGTTATTACGTGCACGCACATGCACTTGCATTTTATAGGGATCTTGATATTTTACAAACCACTATTTACACAGAGTTATTGTAATTGCATTTGTGAACCGATTTATCTGACAGAGCGTAACTCGTTCGACAACAAGTTAGCGATCAAGAGCTTGTGAAGTACTGTTAGCACGTGATACATACAGGTGAGGTCGGTAAACAAAACACATCAGTCTGCATTCCATGCACCTCATATACGACCGTCTGATCGTATGTCAGTGTTTTCCCGTGAGTTAATTAATGTCTTTGTATCATAAGCTATATTTCTGAATTACGTGTGATTACACATTTCCAAGTTAAGTCTCGATATCGGGTATTGACATATCATCGTCACGCACGTGTACTATTGTTTACCCGGTGTTACTATAATTTACACTACGGTAATGGAATGCCCGATACGCAATACGAAAAGGACGACAAGAAAATAAGACAAGAAAAACATGTGTATTACGAAGGGTGGGAGGTCCTTAATAAAGAAACGAAAATTGTCAATGTGTCATTGTTTAGAAAATTATGTTAAAAGGCACCACGTCCTCATTTCATACGTAAGGACATACTTTAAATGGAAGTCCTGAGATATGTACCTAAACATAGTCGATCTTCAATTAAAACGACAGATTTGATTTTGTGAACAAAAGCACATGATTCCCCTTGTTAGCACGTCGTTTGTTGGTGACGCGGGTATATGGGAAGCTTCTTTTTTACGGTTTATAATTTACGGACTAGATGTTCCTGAAAAGTTTGCATATATTTTACCTTTGACGTTTAGTTGAAGGACAGAGTGGCCGTATGGCAGTGCTCTGCACTGCACATTGTCTGTGGATAATGTATATGTACTACAAGATTCATCAAGATATCTCAACGGTTTAAAAGTAACGGCTCGGACTAGATGTATCTTAACAGAAATATTCATTAACATGACCTTTGACGTTGAGGTCAAGGCCACAGTGACCTATTGACAAAACAGTGCACATCTGCGGTTGCTGATGCAGGTATAAATGGTTTAAAAGTTACGGCCCATATACAAATGTTTAACTGGAAGAAGCCCATGAACCTGTACTGAAATAATACTGAAGCAGAGACATAATTAAGGCAGACCATAAAATATAATATACTAAAAGAACAATATCTTACATAACTGCACTTTTTATATTTTTAAGAATACTTCGTTGATTGTTTTTTAGATGTATATTTATTATCATTTTATGTTCCAGAGTCACATACCGAAATAGACGAATTGGTTATGAATGCTAAGATAAACTTCTTCGCTACAAAGGTTGGTTCCCATTCCAACGTTATTCAATTCGTTGGGGCTATCCTTGACAACAAACCACGTAAGTTCTTGTAAAATCAATTATGCATACAGGTACGAGAGTTTGAATAACGTTATACGAACTGGTGGTATATGTCTATATGATCATATTCACTATCGTATAGCATTGCCACTTTATATCTTCATACAATTAAGATAGCAGTCATAACAACTATGAATACAATTGTGGACGTCGTTATTAGTGTGGCGTGATAACTGTAACGTGAGACCCCACTAGCCATCCTTGGAATGTGGCTGTTCCATTAATAAACAAACATACAGGCTAATACCTATATTTGACCTATTGTTTCTTTCTGGATAAACTTTGTTTTATTAGATTAAAATGATTGATAACTATATGTCCTGAAGTGCTTACAGTTGGCATTCCTGGAAAGCGACATTTCTAGTTGGCATTTAATTATGGCAATTGCAAGGGTCAGAATCAATCAGTCTGTTCAATCTATGCGGTTACATTGTACATACGGTAGAAGTAGATATTTACGCGATGTAGAAATATTCGCTTTTTTGTAGAATGTATCGATTTCAGATCCATTACCAACGCGAAAAACATTAACAGTCCCACACCGCCAACAGTTTACAGTCCCACACCGTCAACAGTTTACAGTCCCACACCGCCATCAGTTTTCATCCCAACACAGCCAACCTTTGTAATCCCCACACCGCCAATAGTTGTAATCCCCACACCGCCAACAGTTTACAGTCCCACACAGCCAACAGTTTACAGTCCCACACCGCCAACAGTTTACCGTCCCACACCACCAACATTTTACAGTCCCACACCGCCAACAGTGTACAGTCCCACACCGCCAACAGTTTTAATCCCCACACCGCCAACAGTTTTAATCCCCACACCGCCAACAGTTTCAATCTCCACACCGCCAACAGTTTACAGTCCCACACCGCCAACAGTTTACAGTCCCACACCACCAACAGTTTAAAGTCCCACACCGCCAACAGTTTACAGTCCAACACCGCCAACAGTTTTAATCCCCAAACCGCCAACAGTTTTAATCCCCACACCGTCAACATTTTACAGTCCCACACCGCCAACAGTTTACAGTCCCACACCGCCAACAGTTTTAATACCCAGACCGCCAACTCTTTCAATCCCCACACCGCCAACTGTTTTAATCCCCACACCGCCAACAGTTTACAACCCCTCACCGCCAACAGTTTACAGTCCCACACCGCCAACAGTGTTCAGTCCCACACCGCCAGCAGTTAAAATGCCCACACCGCCAATAGTTACAGCACCACACCGCCAACAGTTTCAATCCCCACACCGTCAGCATGTTTAATCCCCACACCGACAACAGTTTTAATCCTCACCCCGCCAGCAGCTTAAATCCCCACACCGCCAACAGTTCCAATCACCACACCGCCAGCAAGTTAAATCAGAGACCGCCAACAGTTTTAAGCTTCACACCGCCAACAGTTTAAAGAGAGACAACGCGAACATGTCCACCTGTACAGTATGCTGACAGACAACTATCAATCACCCTTTGCTTTCACATAGTTGTTGATGTCTAGGCGCTCTTTCCAGACTGTTTTTTGTTGTTTATTTACGTATTCACATTACATCGTACAAATTGAGTTAGACCAGGGTCATTTAAGGTGATGATGGCACTCGACTTTCGGTAGATAGAGACGACGTATCGAAGATGATACTTGCTATAAATAAATACAAACGTTATTTAACATTTTCTGCTTCCAGTGTCTTTTTGTTTTCATGTCTTCGATCACATATCATAATACGAGAATTACTGCGGAAGTTATTGGTTATCGAATTGCAGGACCTCGGTTGAAATAGCGTTATGTTTGCGTTTAACAATTTTAACTGTGAACATCAAAACGCATACATACTAAGCTGGAACACTCTTTTGCTCAGTGGGTCCTTTCATGCTGTTGGAGTTGTGTGAGACAGGTGTAATGAGGACGTGGCTGCAGAATCACCGAACGAATGTGACCGACAGTGTCGTAGATACCCTGTATCGTATGACCTTTGACATAGCTAAGGGAATGGATTTCCTCGCCTCCAAACAGGTATAATTTGATTTTAATAACAGAACATCAATTGAATCGTTAACTTCTGTTCACTTTAGTATCTTTACCACAAGTTTCCATGTAGTTTCTACAAAAACAAGAAACCAAACCGTAATTACTGTTTTATAAGTTTTATATTGCAGCGAGTATTGATACCATGAATACACAGCGATACAAACAACACAACAATCCGTAATTACTGTTATATAAGGGGTTTTATTCAGCAAATATTGATACATGTATCATGAATACACAGAGATAAAAACAACATTCTTAGCCTTTTTTTACTGCCTAATATTGGAAATACACATCAATTTATTACGTTATAATGATAAAACATCTGTAAACATATCCTATCAGCCAAACACAAACTTACCTTCTAAAGTGGAATAATTTCACAGGAGTCATCCTCAAGTTCTGAATGTGACAACAGCGAAGTTATAGTATAGTTACTATAGTTCATAGTAATTTAGATAATGTAGGGTTAATACTCTTTATATCAAAATTGATTATAAACAGATCAAAGTACATTGTTAAGTGTTTTCGTCTGTGTCACATCATTGATATAACATAATAAGAACTTAATAAAAAAACAGCTATCAAATCGTTGTTAAGGATTTCTGCATTTCTTGTTAAAAGTCGATTAAATTTTATAACGGAGTTTTTTTTTTAAGTTGCACATTGCACATCAGATTATAGACTATCACACTGTGTTTTCAGTGTTTGTCGTGAGAACAATTACCTCATCGTGAACAGGTGGAACATATTGCAAGTCAACCGCAGGAAGACTTGAGATTTTACCAACGTGCGCGCTATGAGAAAACTGTTTTCCAGACTAAACTGAAAAAAGTATTGATAAACCATTTATCATCAATAAATTAATTCCATGTATTATTGCCACTCATAAAAAGTCGACATTTAATTCTATATCTTCCAACCGACATTTTTCTGATTGTCGAGATCCAATATAATCAATTACGTTTTAAGCGGAGGATTGCCATGAACAATAAACTATGGAGATTGTTCTTAATTTGCTTGTTATTAGCCTCTCTATTTACATATTTACAATTTAAAAGGTCTTGTTTTCCTCACAACATTTTCTTCCTGATAATGATTTGTTGAGGGATATTTTCTTACGCGAAGTACCTTTAATAATGGAAAGTCGTTCAGGTTTATGACCGAAGAAAAATCGAAAAAAAATAATTTAAGTCGTCAATTTTTTTTTTCTTGAGCATTCCCGCTCTGACAACCCGAATTAATGGAGTAATCATGTGTCTTGTAGCTAGAATTTTGTCGATAACAGGATATCATGATTTTTGTGCTCAACGAGTTATTCATTTTTCCCATGAGACAAGGATATCGGGTTTATTATTTATAGAACCGTATTGTTGTATCGTTCTTGTTATAATCCTTTCCTAAAATAATGACCAATTGAGAATTTATGTGCGAAAGTTCCATTTAAATAATCTTCCATGAACGATTTAGGGTTTATATGCATGTGGAAATACTATAATGACATTTGCCCTGACAGGTGACACACCGTATCCCGGGATACGGAGTATGGACGTGGCCAACAAGGTAACCAATGGGTACCGTATGAGCCGTCCTGAATATTGTGCTGACATGTAAGTTATTCGTGTTAAGTATCGGGTAACTTATATAATTTGCGATGCTATATAGACAAAAGTCAAGAGCATTTCATGTTGAATGAAGGTACTGTTTATCCTTTCGTATATTCTAAATACGAATAAAACTAGTCTGTCTTTAGTTTTTAACATACACAAAGAGAACTACTTATTATAAGCCTCTTCTTACGACATTCCCCCTTGTATTTATTTATGTAAAGTTGTTCAATCTAACAAAACCATATAGCATACATAACATTATAGGGGGACATAACTCTGTTGATAATGTTAGGGTGTACATATGTCTTACACAGGCACTATGAGTTAATGAAGAAATGCTGGCAGGATAAACAGTCGTCACGGCCAAAGTTCTCCGCCATCGTTCAGGAAATCAGCAGCACCTTCAGCTCGAGCCAGGGCGACTACTATTATTACGCCACGCAGTGACCACAGGGACTGATGACCTCTACCTCTGGTATTCTGGTATTCTGGTATTCCACTAAAGAACCACACATCGAGGTCCTGACTACTACTACGACTAAACCTAGCTACTGCTTATGTTGACTGATGTTTCTCAAAAAAAGTGGCAATCAGGAACAGATAACTGCAACACCCGTAAGTGACCACATGGACGGTCTACTACCACTCAACATAGTCATTACAGAGTCTGACTGCTGCTACAATTCAATGTACTAGATCGTAAGACCACGGGGATGGACAACTTCCACGAAGTGATCTCAATGAAACCTGTCTGCTCCACCATTATTTTTTCTTGAATCTTCGTTCAGTGAAATGCGGAATTATATATACGCATATATGTTTTTACAAATATAGTATGTGATTGTGTGATTTTAAAATATTATGTATGTTTATTAATTGCTCGACGTAGTTTGTACCAATGTTGATAAATTAAGTATTTTCGATGAAAGTCTATTCTTCTAGACGGTGTAAATATGTAGAAGTATAATGAATATTAAAAACAAATGTCGATTGTATTTTCATAGAAAATTTAAGGATTGAATATACGATGAAATTGCCATTTCCGCTGCTGATGTACATGTCTGTTGGACAATGAAGGAGGCATTTTGTTTGTGGTTCAAGCAGGGACCAACAAGCACTTGTATTCATATAGCCAACAAAAAAAGCAAGATACGCATGATACTTCAAAAAAGAATTAAAATCTTGACTGAATTACGGATTGTTTTCTTTATTCAATTTCAGCATGTTTTATTGACAAAAAAAGGAGTCAATTGGATTGAGACATCAGGCATTGCCTATGCAAGTCCTCTTTCTACAGCAGTGTTTAGATTTATAGAACACACATCCTATATGTATTACCAATGTTTGAAATGGAAAATAAGGCTTCCATGTATATAATATTAAGCATGTGTACGAGTATATTATCTATATATACATGTACGTGTATGTTAGAGTTATCCACCACCTCAAGCCTGCCGAGTGTGCTGTAACGTTAACATGTTAGTGCGTGAACGTGTCATTAGGAATATAATAATGTATGTATTCAAGTGTAAATAAACAATATATCTCTGATATTATCAGGGTCTTAAAACTATTAGCATCTAACACATTTCAGGGGTTGGATAAAGAATCAATGAAAATGAAAACAAACAAAACCACAAAAGTTTCTCCTGAAAAATCCCCACGGACAATATAAACATCTGTGGGTAAAAGTAAATAACTGAAAGGTCGTGCGACTTGCAAACGTAATTGAAAAAATGCGCCGGGAAAATGTTGTTACAGTGTCAAAAAGGGGAAAATGAATTATAATATACATACATATGTCAAATACGAGACAACAAGTGTTTTCTTTCTTGTTATATTTTTTTTTAAATAATGGACAAACTCTTTCGCTTTAATAACAAAATAAAACGCTACTATGAACATCGCGCTGATCGCACTAGATATATCGCAACAAATCTAGGCTAAGCATTAAATATAAATAAAACAGGAAACCGAAAACCTTTATCAAACGGTACTATCAGTACCTTAGCGTTTGCAAATTAAATCGAGCTAAGAAGAGTTACCTCCCATACCCCTAGATTTAGTATCAGATATGCAAACACCATTTCTTGTCAAAATGACTACATGCAGTGAATAGTATTGACGAATTTCTTCTAAACAGTAAATAATCTTTGGGTTGCCAGAGCGAACAGAAATTCCAAATAAAATTGATATATTGAATAATCTATTATTCCTAGCGAAACCCCTAAAAAGTGTCAGGGGTAAAAATCCAACGATATCTGTTTTGTCATAGGCTTGGTAATAACTAATCGGTCAATTAATCACTCAACCAATCAATAAACTACATCCGCAAATAACTGTATGTGGAGAAAAAAGCGTGTGGATACATCTATTGTCTGAGACGGGGAACTATCTGTTATTGCTATGAACTATGCATAAAAATGAAAGAAAAACATGGATAGATTACGAAACGCTGAGTGAGAAATTAGTCATCGAAATAAGCCTTTATCTTCCTTATGCATTGTATCTGCTTTATAAGACCATGTGTCCCCTACAATGGTAGAGCTTGATGCTCCACAAAATGTTTTTCTGTAAATTGGTTTGTTTTACAGAAATTGATACACAGCAATATTTCCACCAGCTCCGCCAATAACCAAGAGGCCGCCGGAATGGTAGTCAATACAGGAAGGACGTCTTATTTCTGGTTCTGTTGACCATCCTCCAAGGTATTTTTCTCCGTCTTGCAGAATCACTACCTTGCTCGACTGCTTATTCACCAATAGTACCCTGTCCTTCTGTACACAGTGTGCATCGGCCAGCCAGTTAGCTTTGTTCCGTTGGACACTTCTCAGCTTTTCACCATTGTAGTTAAACATCAGAGCTTCAGAACTCCGCTTGTCTGATACAACTATTAATTCATCGTTGCAAGATACTGTCAGTGGCTGCAAGGGCGTTTCCAACCTAATTGTTCCGCGTCGTTTTCCTTTGCTATCGTATCTTCTCACCTCTTCACCATATGTCGGAAATAGGAGAATGCCCAAGGAGGAGGATGCAACGTGACGGAATGTGTCAACCTTACATGTGATTACTCCGGTTCTTGTGCCATTTTGATAAATCAACACGCCGTATGGTACTGCCACTACGATATTGTTTTCCACAACAGATATACCAGTCGGTGTAATTTCAATATCAACAAACCAATCTGTATCACCATTCCGTGTAAACACCTTCAGTTGCTTGTTTTCACCGTCACTAACAGCGATTTGACGACTTGAAATCAATGCTACACCAGTTGGTTCTGGGACAAATTCAGTTTTGCATCCTATGTAACAGTTAAATATTTTTATAAGACGATAGATCCCACTGTTTACCTGCGTTGTGTTGATGAACTGGGTTGAA